GTTACTCTGCGGATACAAGCGGCCGAGATGGGTTTTCTCCGCAGGGTGGCTGGCGTCTCCCTTAGGGATAAGATGAGAAGTTCAGTCATCGGGGAGCGACTCGGAGTTGAACCGCTCCTCCTTCGGGTCGAAAGGAGCCAGTTGAGGTGGTTCGGGCACCTAGTTAGGATGCCACCTGGGCGCCTCCCTAGGGAGGTGTTCCAGACACGTCCAGCTGGGCAGAGACCAAGGGGTAGACCTAGGACCAGGTGGAGGGATTATATCTCTTGGCTGGCCTGGGAGCCCCTTGGGACCCCCCAGTCAGAGCTGGTGTATGAGGGGAAAAGGAACGTTTGGGGCTCTCTGCTGGAACTGCTACCTCCGAGACCCGACCACGGATAAGCGGGAGAAGATGGATGGATGGATTTCTATAAACATAAGAAGTTAAAATAAAAATACGCATCAGATGTCACTTGTTCGATGCTTTTATCCAAAGCGACTTACATACTCAATACTGTGGGCAATCCCCTCAGGAGCAATTTGGGGTGAAGTGTCTCAGGGACACAACGACATGCTGACTGCAGTGGGGTTTGAACCTGTGATCCCCTGATCCCGACACCAACGCAGTAGTCCACTTCGCCACAGCCTCCCTCAAATATATATATATTTTTTTAAACTCAACGTAAAATGTGCCAAAAACAATTAATAAAATAAGGGTAATCTTTATTGTATGTTGTCTTAGTGTCCACATCTCATAGAAACAATAGCTTTGGCTTGATTGGAGTTAAATCGTTTGTTGTTGGTATTAATGAAAACACAGGCATACTACAAAACTACCATCATTTGTATGTATTTATCATTAAACACTGAAAGTAAACTGGCCGGATTCTCTCCTCAGGAACGCCACGGTGGTGATGGAGGCTCGTCAGGTGGTGATGAAGATCTTTGAGGATTACACAAAGTCCTGGTACTGGATCCTGATGTAAGTCCCTCAGGAACATGAACACATCTGCTTCTCTCTGAAACCTCCGCTCACTGCCTCTCTGTTCCTTCCTCTCTGCAGAGGTTTGGTTATTGCGATGCTCACCAGTCTGCTCTTCATCGTCCTGCTGCGCTTCCTGGCCGGGATCATGGTCTGGGTCATGATCGTCATGGTGATACTGGTCCTAGGATACGGTAAGAGTTCAAACATAAAAGCCTTATGCTCTCTTTAAATAAGGAAATTGGTACAATGCATCTCGTACACTGTCAATATATGAATGTTGACTCATATCACACACAAGTGGTCATGAGCGCTGTCGTTAACTAGCAACGCTATCGTTCATGGTAACAAATCATTACAAATCAAATAAACGGTTTCTTTTTGACACCAGTATAGTGGTACATTTATGTAATATAGTGATGTCACTATGTTCCTGAAGTAAACAAAGGAGTCCAATGGTGGCGTTTCAGGCGGGGTTGGAATGAGGGGAAACTCCATCTATTACCTTTGTCACAAAACCACATGTGTCAAACTCAGGGCCCGGGGGCCAAATCCGGCCCTTGGTGGATTTAATTTCGGCCCGCAGGATAATTTTTAATTACTATTAGATCTGGCCCGCTGGTATATTGCACGCTGTAGTGCCGAGAGATAGGAGACGGAGGCGGTACATCAAAGGTGCAATAGGTAGCTTTATTGAGGAGCAGAAAAGCACATGTTGCTGGCTTGCAGTCCGAGTAGAGAAGAGAAAGAGAAAGGAAGGAGGACACAGTATATACCCCGGAGGTACTGTAAGCATAGTGTCCGTGCGGAACAATACCCCCAACCTGTAGTTCCATGAGTGAATTATGTATTAATAAGTGATCACTACACAAGCCCCCCCCAGAATTCAAACATGGCACAATCCTCGCGTCCGGGAGGAAGCACCACAGGGGCCGAGGAGGGTGGGGTTGCATGTGAGGGCCGGGCCAATAGACAAGTTTACGCGACAAACCACGGGTAGCGCCATAACCCTACACAAATGCACTTCATTTCCGCCGGAAGTCTTTTGCACAGCGTCTTTCGGTGTAAACCGGTGTAAACAGTCAGACGGGCACTGGTGTAAACACAGCGATTTCGATGCTAACAGTGATGCTAGCTTGGGAACACGATTCTACTTCTTTGACTGGAGATGGCGTTACTCTCCCCCACCCGAATTCAGTGCAAAACTGGGAGGATAACATGACGACGTGGCCCAGCATAACGTACAGCAAAATTTGCTCCTACTTCGTTCAATCCATGGCAATAGATGGAAAAGCAATGGACAGTCTGAAGGCCTCCGAGGCATATCAATATTTGCACAGCAACAAAGTTGGTTGTGTCATGTCATACAAACATGATCGTTTTGTTTATCTAAAAGCAAAGGTAGAGCCTAGCCAGTGTTTGAACAATGCGTGGCATAATCTTTGGGTGCTGGTAACTGAAGCTGGAGAAGTCAAAACTGCGGGATGTACGTGTGTTGCTGGACCAGGGAGATCTTGTTCCCACTCAGCTGCGATCCTGTGGAAGGTAACTAGATTATTTGACCATTGTAGCCTAGGCCTATGTCTTTTGTTGTTGGTATCCGAACTACATCATAGGCTACTTGGCTAGAGTGCAAAGTGTGTGTATGCCATGATGTATTATATCATATGATATGACACTGTTGGCCAGTGAACCCCATTGACATAAGATACTATGCACTGTTTTTACATGCTCTATCTCTCTAGTGAGTAGGAAACCATGCTGTGAGACAGGGGAACAACCGGGTCGTTGCCGGCACAAGACAGACAGATAACCAGATGAAATGCGTGGAAATACTTAAAAGAAAATGCTGGTCAGAGAGCAAAGTATGAAGATGTGCGCTTCCAAATCGAGACACCACAGGAAGGATCTCTACCAGCTGCGCACCAAGCTTTCACACGCCATCCTCATACCACTCAGAACCCAAGGCACAGGAGGTGCACACCATTTAGGAACTCATGAAGAGTGGAGGACGACAGAACACACGTTAGCCGTCACCAATGGCAAGAACTTTTCCAATGCCCGGGAATAGGCCCTCCTGGCAGTTCTGCTTTAATGCGAACCTCTTCCGCAATCACCCGAGCCAAACACCATGTCCACATCCATCCGCATCCTACTAAACCCATGAGAGCAACCATCATACCACGCTGGTAAAAATGGCAGAACCTCTATATACAGTACATAACAGGTCCACAGCCCGGCCTTGAAATCGG